TCTATCTATCTATCTATCTATCTATCTATCTATCTATCTATCTATCTATCTATCTATCTATCTATCTTCTCCCTCCTTTTGATTAGAGAGGGTTCCAAGCTTTAAAACAATACCCTCTGGATCTAGTGCAACCCCTGTTTTCTTCCATCTGTCATGCAGAAGCTACCAATAAAAAATCTTCCTGACAGCATTTACTCTTATTTTTGCTGGCTGCTCCAGAATTATCATCATCTTTTACCTACCTGTAAGTCCCTGGCTTGAAGCAGTTTTAAATTTTGTTCTTGCCAGGCCTGGATCATTTCATTCAATGCTTGTTGTAATCTGATGAGGGAATGATGGATCTCAGGAGCTGCATAATGGCCAGAATTGCCAAGTTTCTGACCGTAGTTGCTGAGAACACCAAACCTTTCCCCTTGAGCTTCAATCTCTGCCTAAAAGATGACAGACAGATTGATGTCAAATGTTTGTGCAGAATCAATATTCAGGTTTTTTGGAAAAAAAGTAGACTTTATTCAGCAACCTTCCCCTGTTAATATTTATGTGGAAAGTAAGGAGAGCTTGGTTTGGAAAACCAAAGTAACACAGGAAGGTTTGAGAGTTTGAAAAAATATATAAAGATCAGCAAAGACTAGTTTTTCTCCTAGTTAAATCTGGGAACTTTTAGCTATAAATGAAATATGTTTTTAATTGTACATTATTAAAGCAAACAACATCACCACCAATAATAGAGGATAGTAACTGCACAGCAAACAATGTCCCTCAAATTTCAATTTTCTTTTCTGTTTACATCAGATTTCATTTTATCCAGCATTTTATGATTGTATTCTTGATGTTAACAGTAAAGAACATGAAATATGTTTATTTAACTGATATCTTTCATCATTTCAGATTTATGAAAGAAGTTAAGCCGGTGGTTCTTAAACTGTTTGACCCGTTACCCCTTTTCTGAGTCTTGAATAATGTCATTATCCCCACGAAACAAAAAACCCAAAACAAAACCCCAAAACCCAGCCTCTGTTATTTTACACAGGCATCTTGGCAGCAGCAGTCCCAGACTGGATCCTCAACTCCCAAATAAGCAGTTACAAACCGCTCCATTGCCTCCAGGATATGCCTCCATTACCCCCAGTTTAAGAATCACTAAATTAAGCTGTGGATACTATCAAGTATTCCAGATGTCTTTTTTAGTCTGCCAGCAAAATACATGCCTCACTGGCTGTTTTCATGGTGTTCCTGCCCCCACCTTTTCCTCAGAAGAAGGAAAAGATGATGTCCTCATCTTTGTTTCCCTGATGAGCTCCTGCATCCCATCTCATTTCCAAGTGGAACTAGAACAGCCACAGCATCTATCATCAATCTTTTCTCCCTCCTTGCCTCTTGGAGACTTTGCATCTTATTCATGGAGCTTTCAGTGTCTCAGTGCGTATGTTCACACTGCTTACCACTGATGTTCCTCCTTTCCCTCTCTGTTGTTCAGAAGTAGGTTTGTAATACAATACAGGCCTAGTACCCTGTCTCCAAATGCGTATATTCTAAGAGAGCTCCTCTATAACTTGTCTTGACCTCATAGGCTTAACCTCCAGCACCCACCCTGAGTGGGGTATTTAGTAGCATTTTTTATCCCTGATTGCTTGAACGTTTGTCCATATGCAGGCTTCTCCAGTGGCAGAACCATTCTAACCAATAAGTATTTACAATACGGCTTCCAACTTGCCAATAGCAGAGTGCTGATATTTCCTGTAAGTTCTAGACTTGCAAAAATGTACCCGTGTATACACTGCTATGAATTTTAGCATAATCCGAATAAAAATGAAGTTCAGAGAGAGAACAGACTACATTTGGGCTTAGAAGAGAATGTTCCAGCTCAAAAAGTAAGCACAGAAATAAGAAATGAGGATGTAATTACTTGATGTTTTATTGCTTCAATCAGTGTTATTTCAGTTGTCAAGTATTGAAATTGCTAGTTGGGTACTTTTTAAAGTAATGGAAACTATTATAAAGATAGCCATGTCCTGCTGATATAATGCATACTTGCCTTTATTTCTTGATGCTCCTCTATCAGACTTTCTGCTTCAGCTAGACTTTTAGGAAGATCTCCAACTTGCATCTGACTTTTGACTTCCTGAATCCAATCTAGTAATTCCTTCAGTTCAGAGTTAAACTTCTGTAACTGATAAGAGGCTGTCAGCTTCTCACCCCTGTTGTGGTGGTAGAGAAAACATCTCAGAAGAGAGTATCCTTAGTTTTCAGGAGAGTAAAAGTAAGGGACGGGAGGGGTACTTTCAGACTTTCAGGATTCTGTTAATGTAAACTTACAATAAAGACAGAGTTAATACTCATGGTTGTGCTTCTTGTCTGGACTACCCTGAAGGACTAACAGAAGACAGGGCCTTGTACAAACATTTGTTTGTTTATAACAATTGTATAGCTGACCATTTTCAAACAATGCTGGGTGGCTTACAACCAATAAAACAGTATAAAACCAATAGTGATAAAACTAAAAACAGAAAAACCTGGCACCACCACCACACTTCCCGATGCCACCCACATTCTCATCTCATCCTGACCTGGCTCTATTCCCAACACCTGGGGGAAGAGCCAGGTCTTGAGTGCTCTCTGGAAGGGTAGAAGGGTAGGGGCCTGTTGGATCTCAGGGGGGACGCTGCTCCATAGGGCAGGGGCTGCAATGGAAAAGGCATGCTTCCATGGACTCACAAGGCGGCAACATTTAATGGAAGGCATCTGGAACGTGCCTACCCTATCTGCTCTGATGGGACATGTAGATAACTTGGTCCTATGCCATGTAGGGCTTTAAAGGTAATAACCAGCATCTTGAATTGCACCTTGAATTTACCTTCGATTGGCCTGATTCTGGAGCCGTAACCAGTGGTTTCTCATTTCCTTTTGTTTTGTAGTCAGTTTGTTACTGATAGTGGATGGATTCCTTTCACAAATTTGGCACAGTTCTGGTTCCAGTGACTAAAAGAAACATAAGCACTCTATCTAGTTAACATGCTCTTCCTTCTGAAGCTATTCTTTTAATTTAAAAATCTATTCTGTATCAGGCTTTTCCCTTCACGACATTTCAAAAGGGTTATCAGAATGAAAAGAGAAAGAGAATAAAAATATACAAAATGCATAGACGGGAAAAATAAAGCTAGTTATAAAAGCACCCACAAGCAAAAGGCAATAGTAACATAATACAAAGCTAAACTAATCCCAAAAGACCCTCTGGGACACAAAAGTTTTTTTTAGCAATATGGTAAATCAGGAGACAGTGACCATGAAAATATTCTGGGAGAAAAAGAAAGCCCTTTTATTGATGCATGCCTGAAAAAAACGTATTACACTTTGGCTAAATTTCAGCTAATGTTAGTCACCACAGAAATTTTCAGAATGGTGAATTCTTTCACCCCTTGAACATGTATGCCATGGAATGCTGAATCTCTGGATGTTTTTTTCAACATTTGCAGATATTTTCTTATGGAATTTGGATATTTCCAACTCTCATATATTCCACAATATAAATGCAGTGGTTTAAATAAGAGCTGACATTATAAAACAAAGTTGTCCCTTGAAACAGCTCTAAGGCAGCATAAAAAAGCAGCTGTTCGGTACAAGTACCACCCCAAAATACATAAAACGTAGGCAGCTAATTGGCCATGGTTTGCAGATTGCATGCTATAGTCCATGAATATCATGAGAGAAAAAATGTCTAGAAGGAAGTTTGATGCATAATCATAGATGACAGAATGGTTGCCAATTTGGAGATCAGATTTAACTCATGTAGAAAAACTGACTAGGCTGGTAGTTGGATTTTAGTTCAACTTCAAGAATGAGATAATATATTCCACTAAAATTGTAGGTAGTTTGAAGGCCTTTCATTATTCTTGACTTAATCTGTTTATCTACATTGCAGCAGTAGAATAGAGATGGAAAAAAATAGGACACCAGGTTATCCCTCCCAGATTTTGTACCATTGAGAAAGCAATTTTGTGGACTGGGATATATATCCCATACAGAAATAGCCTGATTGGCAGGTTACAGGCGTGGAACATCTCCATGCCTGTGTCCTGTAATCAGGCAACTTGACAGGAATTTAAACTTGCTGTTCAAGTCACCTGCCTACACTTGCCTAGCCCTGCCCTACAACATGTTAAAGAGAGCAATTCATGGTTGTTTTTCCTACTAGTAGGTAGTGCTTGGTGGGATGGGAAAGGAAGTCAGAGGAATCCTCCAATAAGTTTCCTTAACTTGTCCCTGATTAAAACTGAATGGACGGCACTGTTCACCAGCCTCATTACTGTGACAGAATAAGGCTTGGCCAGCATACTTTTCCAGCAGATTTTTGCTAGACTTTCCCATGGGCGTCTTGCTTTGCCTTTGGGCTCTAAGCTTAGCTGATGTGTGGGTCAGATAACAGGTTCTTTTTTCCTTGAATATACTATTCTTGCTAATATTAAGAAATCCATTATTTGTTCTGCAGCTGATTTTGGTGCAACAGGCTAACATGGGTTATACAGTAACATTTGGCATTCTCTGATGGGACTTATTTTTGGAATAAGGCATAAACACCAGGGGGACAAAAAACATTTTTCAGCCATTCCCCAAAGCCAAATAGAAAGTTTGAATGATGGACACCCTCCTCAAGTAGACACCTTGATTTACCACATTTCTTATCTCTTGTTGGAAACCCTAGTCACAATAAAACTGGCATTCTTTAGACTCAGTGTGGAAATATTCTGGTCATCCAAAAAGGAACCTAATCATACTTACCCCTGAAAGTGAATAACTGTATCAGGCTATGGTTTCATTTGCTATTTAAAGAAATTTTCATTTTGTTCTATTCTTGATGTTTCAAAGGTAGAATCTAGTCATGGTACGCCTGTATTCCTACTGTTCTGACTCACTACAGAGAAGTTACATTTGTATTTCAGATTAAATCAAACTTCAGAAAGCAATGAAGTCTTGGAATTGAGCTTATAGAAATGAAATTACTGCACAACTGTAAATAGTACATACGCAGGGCAAATTTCCAGTGTTTATATCCACATTATTTGCAATTATATTTCAAGTATTAATTATATCTGGTCTTTTACCTCTATCTTGGATTGAATGATGCCAATTTCTCTTTCCATTTCATCATGTCTCCGAAGCAGATTTTCTACACTTTCAACATCTTTTCCATAATCCAGTGCTTGTATCAGTGTACTCTTGAGCAGTAGGAAAAATGAAGAGGAGATGACAACTCCATTTTTTAAAAAACTGAAATCTCTGATTATTTTCGCCCTTTCAATATTTCTAACTTAAATTTTACATCTTTATGTATTATGAGGATTGATGAGATATCTATAGACTAAATGTTTAGGCACTGAGTAATTACTTTGAAATAAAATAACACAATAAAATATAATGGTATATCTATACAAGAGCAGAAAAATCAACACAACAATCATATATACAAATGTACAGATTGACAAGCAGTTCAATTAAAATACAAATAAAATAAGAATGAGGAATTAACCGCAGTCTAAAAATAAACCAGAATATAAAGCTAATCTTATCATTAAATACTCCTTATGTAAAATGACACTCTAATTTAAAACTACTGCAAAACGTTATAAGTGTAGAAGCTGACCCAGGGGCAGATTTAGGATTTTGAAAGCATGTGGTAGATTGAATACTTATAAAATGAGCGCTATGAGCTATAAGAGGACTTTAGAGGCTGGTATTTTGCTTTTTTTAAACTAGGAAAATTAAATCTCCTATTTCACTTTGTCCTAAAAAGGATATTTTAAAAAGTCAGGTAAGATCGGGAGTTTGGTGAGCATCTCTAGGGGGTCTAGGGCATCACTGGGAGTTGGGTGGCATATAAATTTAAATAATAATAATAAGCAAAGATACTACCAATAGTTATAGGCGGCTTAGGTGCAATTCCAAAACATTTTGAGCACCACCTGAACACTATTGCCATTGACAAAATCACTACCAGTCAATTGCAAAAGGCAGATTTACCTGGAACAGCTTATATCCTGTGATGATACCTTTCACACCATCAAACAACATCTGCCTATCCCAGGTCCTTGGGAAGGACTCGATAGGTGGATAAAAATGCCAAATCCAGTATAAACGTCTGGGTGACTGTGCAGCCAACCATAATAATTTTGTCTTTGAGAGCTCCAGGTTATCTACCTCTGATTTAAGTAAAATTAGGATTTTGCAAATCTGAAAAATCAACCTCTCCCCACTCTCAAGCTAAACCAATTTCCTATCAAAATTAATCTTTTCTTGCATATTTCTCTTTATTACAGAAGTACCCTTTGTTATTCAGGAACTGAATAAAATGAATTCCAATAACAAAATGGAACAAAACAATTTCCTTTTTACAGGACTAGCAAACAATGAACTTATCAACCTTAAAGCTTATACATCTAAAGAAAATTAATATGTCTAATTGTATTAGCATTTTCAGAGGATTTTGCTACTTCATAGAAAGGTCTCAAAAGAAAGAAGAGATCGGGGAAAGAGCCAATTCTTTATGATAATGTTAAGAAGGGTTTTTCTGAATCTCTCTCATTTGTACCTCTGATTGTCACAAATTTCCTCTTGCTATTTTACTACTATTTGGCTTTGTGGAATTTCTTCCACTCTGGAGAACATGTCAAGGTAATAAAGACCCTTTAAAATAATAAAATAAATCACCTTTTCACCAATCCTCTCTGTGACGTCATCAATTTCTCTAATCAAAGCATGGATCTGCAGGGCTTCTTCCAACTTCCTCCTATATGCTTTAAGATCACCATGGAAACTGTTCCACCTATCATCAAAACACTTAATTTTATTTCAGAAGATCAAAAAGGTATTTGAGAAGATCAAATAGTTTTTATTACTCTAACCCCAAATCATGGGGTTAGAGTAATAAAAACTTACATTTGGGTTTATGAGTTCCTATAATCACCAGTCCTACTTTATTTATCTATATGTTTAAAGAAGCAGAAACAAAATGACATCAGAAGTGATTAATTTACAAGGGTGGATCTGATTGGGGTAGCAGTACAGGGCTCTAGGGAGGAGGAAGCAATATTGCCCCCCAATAGTACTCACTTCCATTTTGCTGACCAGTGTATTGTGTCACCAGAGGAATTTTAATTGGATAATACCAAGAAAATACATATTTTGAATGAAATCATTGTTACTCCACAATTATATTTTTTATTTGGGTTGACTAGCCTGAGGATGCATTGACATTTGTTGCTAGCTAGAAGACTGCCATCACCTTAGCAATTTAGACCTCAACCATGTTTATAATACAGATTCTTAAGTGTTGGGAATGAAATTCAAATAGCTCAACATCACACCCTTGCTACTCTTCCATGCCCACTACTATATGACAGTTCATTAATACTGGAAGATGATATATGAAAAAACAAAGATCAGCCTTCTCCTCTGGCCCTGGTCAGATTTGACTGAGCCTTTCCCTGCTCATTTGGACATCAGTAGATTTTATCCACAAACCTTTCATTGAGTTGTTCTTGGCGTTGGTATATTATTTTCATCTCTTCCGCATTCTGCCTCTCCAATCGCAGAGCAAGAGCATTGATGTCTTTGATATGAGCCTCATCCACTGTTACTCCCTATAAGACCAAGGCCAAAGAGAAACAAGATAATACAGCAAAGTCTTATTTCTCTCTTCCCTTAGGTATTCCTTCTAAGATGCTTACAACTAGGCAAACCTAACTGCAAGATCCTATTGGACCGGGTATCTGCGTTTCTCAACATCAGCTATCTCCCCACCCTCCTGGAACATCCTTAACATTAGCAGTTTAAACTGTATGGAAGTTTGCTTCTTGCTTTACTCTGTGTCAGGCCTAGCCTAATAACAACAGGGAAACAATTCAGCCAAGTTCAGTTCTTTATTGCTTACACCATATGGACAGAATCTTGCCAGACTAAATCTGTACTATGCTAACCTAATAGATATACTCTGGGAGAATCTAGGGAGTGGCTATCCTTCCCACACTCCTGTTCTGGACTATGCTGCCTCCTTTTTCCTTTCTGGAATGTTCTTCCTGAGAACCTGGAGCTCTACTGCATTTCACCACACCGTGCAGAGGAGTTCTGCATTACTATACTGAGGAACCTGAGATCTTTCAGATATTGTTGGATTATAAGACCCATCATAATCAATCAGCCTTCTCAGGCTGAGGCTGATGAGTCCTGTAGTCCATCATATGAAGAGCCACAAATTTTCTGACTGTGATCAATTTACTTAGGTATTAAACTAGTGTAAATTACAGTTTCTTTTTCAAACACAGTTGTTGATTTCTCTTATATCTTTAATTTGATCCCAAGATAAGGGTGGAAACGAAAGTAGTTTGCTCCTTCACTCCCTAGAAATGGCCTGAAATTGTGCTGCTGAAATTCAACCATTTTGTCACTATTTTTTTTTTTTTAATTCCTTGTTATGAAAAAAAGTTGTGATGAGGAAAGAACAAGGGCAGAGAAATGGCTTTGAGGATATTTCTGTGAACATAATTCCTACTAGTCTAGACCACTTAACATTTATGATGCAAATATGCAGGAAATTGTGCTGATCTGAAAACACACTACCAAGTATGAACATCTGAAACAAGTTGCCTTACAGCAAATATAGGTAATCTATGAAGAAAGAGATGAACGTGATGTTTGCTCATGATGAGCATGCTGGTACACTAACATTAAAATGTTCTCCACTGTTGAAGTGGTCCCCAGCGACTAAGAGCAATTTTCTTGCAAGTAAACCACATTTACTGGCTATGGAGAGGTTTGAAGTTTTGATTTCTATGACTGCATGATGTCATATTGGGTACCATGGCCTAAGCCAGTCTGCTGAGGGCATAAGATTCTGAGAGATTCTTTAGCTCTGCCTGGTAAACCTCAGCCAATTTGCTGTGGTTGAATTGGGGTCACTTAGGCACTTTGCCCAGAACTGTGAGATGTATTTTCACTCATATATATTTTGGGAGAAGAGAGAAGTAGAGTAAAAATGAAGTCAACTTTTCACCCTGAGATCTTATGCTGTATATTTTTTTCATTGTTCACTTGTTCTCAGTATAGATTTCCTTCTGCCACTAGGTATAAGAGGCCCAGACTGAAATATATGAGGATATAAGAAGATAGGAAATCTTGAGCAAAGCTGAGAGGAAGGAAGATGGATCCAGCTTCAATTTTTCCATCTTTCTAAGTGCAGCCTGCCAGAAACTACATGCCCTTTCTGGATTTTTGCTTCTGACAAAATTAGCTCACTGGGGTTCTAAAGTACGGTTAACGTTTGTGTCCCCAAAGAACTCAGTCAGGCAGCTAACCTGTCTAATCAGTAATTGGTCACACCAAGCATGCAACAAAATTCAGTGTCCAACTTAGCAATGCCCCTTGCAGGTAGCAAACAAGTCATGCTGCTTTGGGACAAAGTGCTTCTATATCTTCCTAAAGGCTTATGTTATTTTGAAAGCCTGGGAACATACTAGATGTCCTTAAATATATTGTACTACACTATATTTATTTTTGAAGAAATAGCATAAAATGTTAAAGGAGAAAAGGGATTTTCCATTCTCAATTCAATCCCTTTTTTAATACTAATTTTATTAAAGATTACAATTACAACAATAAAAAAGAATGAAAAGAAAAAGTAAAAGGTGCAGAAAAGAAAGAAGAAAAAAAGAGAAAAAAATAGAAAAGAAAAAATAAGAATATAATAAAGAAAAAAAAAAAGAAATATATAAAGTGACTCCCTCCTTCCACAAGTATAAACAATTTTAATAACTTATCAACTTCTCTTAAACTACAACAAATGATCTCTTATTTCCATATCCCATCTCTTATAAACAAAACCATAAAGCCTCAGCATTTCAGTCCTGATTCAGCAAAAGTCCATTAAGGGTTACCAGAGATAACAATGTATCTATTTTAACCTTGCTCAAATAAACCAACTTTATATTCCTTCCTTTTCTTTCTAACTATCTTGATCTTTAGTTCCTTCAAATAAAGTCATAGAACTTGATTTCTTTTCATTTTTTCTTTGTCCCTTCTCACTAAATTTTTCAAATTTTAACAAGCCTCTTTTGTAACTCCAGTATAGGAAAATTATCCAGGTCACTCTTTTGGTTTGTTGTTTGTATATCCCTTTTAATTATTAAGACGTTAGCCAGTTTATTTTGTATGTCCAGTGTAGCATCTTCCATGTCATTCTTAGAGCCTGTCATTTTTAAATCCACTTTCAGATCAGTCTTGATCTTGTCAGATAGAACTTGTTCCTCTTCCATAATATCTTTTAGACACAGTCTATCTATACAGGCAGACACTATTAAA